TGCTAAGGTCTCAGATGTAACCAATGCGAATGGATGGCAATACGCCGAACTCGTGGAATGCAGCCGATGATTCGGCTTATTCATCRACATTTTACGCCTGAAGCCTCCGCAGGACATGATATAGTGTTGTGGAAAAAAAAACCAGCAAGCTACGAAGGCAAATTCGTCTCTAAACGTACATGGAATCAAATTCGAACGCACGAACAGATGGTTCAATGGCATGAGTTAGTCTGGTTTGCCCAAGCCGTACCGCAACAAGCATTCATCGTCTGGCTTGCGTTCCGTAACCGATTCTCTACGGGAGATCGAATGCGACAATGGGGAGTTAACCAAGCTTGCACTCTATGTGGTGAATGGAATAAAACGAGGGACCATCTTTTCATGACTTGTCCGTTCTCCTACACAGTATGGATGATGATTAGCGCTAGTCTCTTGGGTACAGGAACCAATCCATACTGGACAAGAACAGTGACTTCGCTTCTGCGTAACCGATTAACCATGCTCGACAACACTCTTGCTCGTATGGCTTTTCAAACAACAATCTACTAGATTTGGAGGGAGCGGAACGGCAGACTACACCATCAGCCTCACCACTCTGTTTCCTTCATCGCACGTACGATCCATAAGGAGATTCACAACCGACTACTTGCGATTACATGTCCTGGAGATGTTGAAGATGAGAGCATCGTAAGATGGCTCACTGTCTCTTGCGTGGAGGGATTGATAATAACTTAGTTACTGTTTCATTTTTGATCCAATGTAATTAAAGTTATTCTGGTATTTCGGATTGATCACCGGGATTTAAAGCCGGTTTGTAATCTTTTTTTTGTTGATTAATAAATATCATATTTCAAAAAAAAAAACTTGTACCTCTTTAAGTTACTAATCAGAATAATATTATAACTAGTGGAGAGTTAGGGCAAATAGGATAAACTCGAAATTTTTTTTGTCAACCTAAATATTTAATTAAATATGTCTACATAATTGGTAATCTAAATGGGGAGAGAGTTGCTTACAAAGTGAAAATCTAAATCTCTAGAACTTGCCGAA